TCGCCCTGCCGCGTCTCAGCCCCCGGGACGCCGCCGCCTGCAGCGCCCACGAAGGACCCGTGACACGTGGGCGTGGGACCCAGCCACTGGGCAGGAGAGAGCGCTGGCCAAGGTCATAGCAGTCAGGGTGGCTTCAAGCACCATTAAAGGAGGCACAGGACCAATGAGGGTGGAGCCGCGGGCGGGTAGAGTGACGTCACCAGTCAGATAGGATGACGTCATCAGACGGAAGGTAAACCTGTCCCAGGTGAGGCTGGCGAGGTCACCAGATAATCAGAGAAGATTGTCTCAGGGTGAAGGTAGGTGATGACACGAGCCAATGGGGTGACTCATGGGGCTGGTGACGTCACACCCTGGGTTTCAGGACGTCAGGGTCAGCCCCAGCAACGTGGAGGGACAACAGCTACGGTTTTGTTTATTTTAAAGAGACAAAGTTGGGAAACGGGGCCATGCTTATTTTCCTTTTAAAAAATATTGATTTCAGAGAGGAAGAGAGACAGAAATGTCAATGATGAGAGAGAACCATGGATCGGCTGCCTCTGGCAGGTCCCACACCTGGGATCAAGCCCGCAACCCAGGGCATGACCAGAATCGAACCCCGGACCCTTCAGTCTGCAGGCCGACGCTCTATCCACTGAGCAAAACCGGCCAGGGCTGGGCGAGGCTTAATTTCGTGTTCCACGTGGTTTTCATTGTGAATTGTGTTGCGGGAGCGCTAATGGGTCCGGGGGTGTCCGGCCCGTTGCCCATGTTTTCCAAGGCCCACGAGCTGCCCTGGCCTTGGGACTTGTAACCGGTGGGAGGCAGGTGATGAACAGAATCACTGCTCCGCTGTGAGGGACAGACGGACTTGGGGGGCGGGGGTTGCTGGGGGAGCGGAAGCCCTTCTTCCGCTGGGTGGTCCGGGGGTCTTCAGCGAAGTAGGCGGCAAGCGAGGCTGCAAGGGGCGCACCCCGGAATCAGAGGCACGGGGGAGGGGCCGAGGGGGCTTCTGGCGCTCAGGTCCTCCTTGCCACACACAGGTGCCTACACGGGGTGCGGGCCTCCACATTGGCCTCAGGCCCAGCTGCCACTCATGAAAGTGAGGCCGCCCCCACCCCCTCCTTCTACTGCCCCAGAGGAGCCAGTGGAGCTGGGCAGGGGGTGCTGGGAAGACTTGGGTGACAAACAGACCCACCCAGAACCTCCTGGGAGCGCTGATGGGTCCAGTGCCTGCTCGGACTAGTCCTGCCGGCCAGGAGGGGGTCTCCCAGACCTGCAGCCCCCATTCTGCGCCCCAGGGGCCACCTGGACCTTCTCCTCCTTCTAGGCTCTTGGGGAGAAGCTGGGGACCCGCACTTCCTGGAGGGGCGGGCGCTGGGACCAGTCTAAGGGGTTCTGGACCACCCCAGCGGCCCACAGAGACCAGACGGGCGGACAGTTCAGATGGGAAAGACTGGCCTGGGAGCCCTGTTCTTGACCTTTCTTTCCCTGAGTTGTCAGCTGGACTCACCCCGTCCGTTTCCTTGCCTGTGCAATAGGTTATCTTTCTCTTTCCCAGGTCATTGGGAAGATGACAGAGATCCTACTTTGGAAGCACCCAGAACATAGATCTGGACACATGTTAGTGACAGCTGTTACTGCCCAGGAGGCAGGCAAGAGAACGGGAAGGGGGGGTGGGGGACTGACTGAGGCAGGGAGGTGAGGTGCTGCCTGGACCCCTTTCCAGAGAGGGAGGGATGCCTCCCACCAGAGTCTCCTCAGGCCTGTGACTTGAAGGAAGTGCAGGAAGTGAGCCACCTATATCTTGGGGGGGTGGGGTGAGGCGCAGGGGACATTCCAGAAAGAGGGACAGGCAGTGCCAGGAACTGGGGCAAGAGCAAGCCAAGTTCCAGAGGAAAGGAGATGAGAAGGAGCCAGAATGGCCAGTGTCCCTGTGTGTGGCCGGCTTATCACTCTGGGGACCATGGGGAGGCTGGACCTGCAGGAGCCCAGGTGAGAGGAGAAGGTGCCTGGGCCAAGTGTGCAGGGGTGAGTGGTGAGGACTGAGAGGTACTTGGGAAGGTGTTTGGTCACTGCTGTTATATATGTGAAGGGCTTCAAAATACAATCTATATATATAAAAGCCTAAGTGACTGACCGGTCAACCAGTCGCTATGAGGTGCACTGACCACCAGGAGGCAGACACCCAATGCAGGAGCTGCCCCCTGGTGGTCCATGTGCTCCCACAGCCAACCTCCTGCGGTCCCCGCCCTCGCCCCCCAGCCTGATCCAGGCCGAGGGACTCCACCCGGGGCCTGTAGTCAAGAATATTAAGTTACATATGCTGTTTTAAAGGTTTAAGGAAGTTTAAGTTCGTTTATAAATAAGCCCCAATATTAACCAAAGGCCCCTTTATGAGGCTTTTGTGATTTCATAAATAGAATATTAAGGTTTGGGACCAGAACTTAACTATTTTGTGGCCATGTTGTTAGGTGCAACCTAATATTTTTTTTAATGTACTTCTACTGATTGCAGAGAGGAAGGGAGAGGGAGAGAGAGAGAGAAACATCAATGATGAGAGAGAATCACTGATCGGCTGCCTCCTGCACATCCCACACTGGGGATCGAGTTTGCAACCCAGCCATGTGCCCTGACTGACTCGAATGGTGACCTCCTGGTTCATAGGTTGACACTCAAACACTGAGCCCTGCCGGCTATGCCACATCGTGTCCTTTTAGTTAATATTTGTATGACACGTCTCTTTCCATCCCCTTTAAAGTTTCCTGTATCTTTATATTTCAGATGATTCTTGTCTTCTGTAAACCACATAAAATCAGACTCTTTTTAATCATGGTCACTTAGCCCCCCGATTTCAGACCTCTGGTCCGCAGCACTGTGAGGGCATACATTTCTGTTGTTTTGAGCCGCGGGTTTGTGGTTGTTGGAAACATGTACTTCACAGGCTCTGTCAGTTGGCCTCTGTGGTTTTCAGGGCCTCCTGTTGAAAGCAGAAGACATTTGGTCACAGGGGACAAAGGAACTAAAAGTACCCGTATGTCACGTATCAAGAAATCAGCAGGGCATGGGGGGGGGGCAATGGGCGATAAGGACACATATGTAATACCTTCATCAATAAAGAAAAAAAGAGAAAGGAATGGGCAGACATATAACGCATGTTTATATGTCACGGGGGAGGTTGGGGCGTTTTAACTTTCTGTGTATTCTTTTTATTGTTTCAAAAAATGTTTGTGGTTTTCTTTTTTGTTTGTTTTTCCTC